TAAAATTTCGACTAGTAGATCTTCGAATCGAGTTATTATTGATTGACCCATCTCTACTCTACTTTTCATGTTATCATATAAGAAATGAGAATGAGTTGCTATTGCTTTCTTTTTTATATACCCCATCGACAAAGCGTCATGCCTTTGTGCTATTGTATTCTAGAAAATTTACCGATACGATGTAAGCACTGTTTATATTTGACAGAAAAAAGAAAAAAAAACTACGATCACGACCGACATAAACACTTTTCTTTTTATAAATTCCTGATCTGAATACAACTTTATAAGAAATAAAATATTTTTCTACCAGATGAGATGAATATTAGCCGTTATCAGACCTCATTCTTCTGAATTATATGGGTTTTCCCAAGCATTCTATATAACATTGAACAAATGGCCCTCTTAGTTCTTTCAAATTTCAAAAGTTGTTATTTCGAAAGAAAAATTTTTCAGCAACCAAAAGTTCTTCAGTGCCCTAGTTTCTTTTTAAAGTCTGAAATTGAGTTGCAATAACCAACAAAATCGAAAATATCAGAAAATTTTACATTGAGTTAGTTTCGTTTCTCAAACTGATTCAAGGTTTTTTGTTCTTCGAAGAAAACATCCATATGAATATCTCTTAAATAGATATTTAAATATTGCTGACACTAGTCTTAATCTGCTTGACTTAAATATAAATCGATTAAAGAAAAAATAGCTCTCGTTGATAAAACCAATACAAGTATTTTCTTCTTTTGATCAACGCGTTAATATTTATTTAAAGAATTAACAGAGTTTTTATGATTTTTCGGGTCAAGAAAGGATCTTATCCGCTCTATTCCTTTTAAATCTTATTAGAATTTGAAAAATTGAGATGTTCGACGTCAACAAATAGAGTTAGTCCAACAATGATATATATTTCTTGATTCTCTTCAGATTCTTCAATGATCAGACATAGATGTAGAAAGCTTATCTTCATATTTTTTAGCGCATGGTATCTTTCTTTTCGACTGTCAACATACGAAAAAAATATTCGTCTCTTTATACCATTTGTACAAGACAATCGTAAAAGATATACTGCTATTTACTTTCCTTAAAGTCGAGCAATATGCTCTTCCCTAATAACAACAAAATACTTTTGTCATATCTTTAATTTAGCAGTTTTATGTCAAATACTAAATTCTATTAGATATTTTGTCTATATTTTGAATTGTATTGCTAATGTAGAGATAAAAGTATATTGTTCGCAGATCGTTGACGTACCATTTTTTTTCAGGCTTTAGTCAGTGCTTCTTGTGGCTTAGTCATCATTCAAGTTTCTCTGATAACAGTAAAGCTCACAGGTATAAAAATATCTGAGAACTTAATTGTTTAGCTTTGTTGAGTAATAATTATGTTCAACTAATTATGTCAATTCTACGCACAAATATAAAGATTATAGCTGCTCAATATTCACTATCAGATAATTTGTACATATTTTTCGTGGTAGGTCAAGACTAAACAATAGGGGGGAAGCTTTCGAGCCCGCAGTTTATTATTTTTGTAGCGCTTGATAGTGTTACCTTTGCTGAGAAAGACATGCTGATTCGACGAAAAAGTTTTGGTCGACCTTCCACATCATATTGTTGTAAACTATATACGTACGAGGATAGGTATGAGGTACATTATACATTTTATAAGCAGTTTTTTTTATTTTGAATCAAAGCCATTTATGTAGTTTTCCTTGAAATCCAATCGTCTATCGAATTGTATAAAAGTCGAATATCAAATTTTACGAAACTGATATCGAAAATATATAATTCTGATATTATTTTTATCTTTCTCAAGATCACTAAGAATCTTATCTAATGCAATATTAAAATAAGGTGAAAGTTTCACCAATCAAGCTGAACCTTAAATCATTACTAACTTTGACTTCTGCAATTACTAAAAATCCCATGTCAAACAACTTTTGTTTTGTCATAAATTCGAATGATCTGTAATTGTCTCCCATTGTAGATTATATATGGAGAAAATAAGTTAGTAGCCTTTAGAAAAAAAAAGTTGGAGTTAATTATATCGAGAAGATAGACTATTTTTCAGCCTAATATGTATGAAAAATAAGACGTAATTAAAAAGTTCGTGTATAATCGGTCATCACATAGACTTTATTCACTAGCATGATTGATTTGACCATTTCAAAATGTATACCTCATAACATCTTCAGACTTCTAGCTGATTTTATTGAGAAGATACTATGAAAACATTTCAAATAAGTGATTGACAATAAATGTATGAAATTGATAAAAAGCTGTTTTGGATGCTTCTCGTTGAATCATCATAATTCAGCCAAAATTCATTTGCTACGTCTGACAATACGATTATATTCCTCGAAAACTCAGCACTAGAAAATGGGGTAATTTTGAGTGTGGGTTAAAGAATAACTCACTTACACTTTAATACAATTGAAAATTCCATGTCGAACAAATAATCTAACACAGTCGACGGAATACGTGACGTGCCTATCATGGAAACTGCTGACTTGATCACGGGTGTCCATTTCAATGTCTCTGATATTACGATTTTGGTAAGGCTTGAAAAGTGTTCATTATATTTGGTTTTGCTTTGACAGAATATCGCGGACAAAAAAAGGAAAAAAAACTATTAAGTGTCCGAGTTGGATGCCTTGGATTGCGACAGCATCTCTTTGTCTTCTTTGTCGAAAAAGTCAGTCACGAACTTGCAAAACCCTGCCATCGGGTGCTCAGCGGGCAGTTCCAAAAGCGCTTTTCGGCAGAATAGTCTGTAGAGCTCTCGACGAATCATCACCATTCGCTGCAGAGCTGCACGATCAACAACAATGCCGTCTCCGTCTGCCTCGTATCCTTCGAGAAGCCACGTTGTGTAGAGCTCCGAGTTTGCTTGCGGCACGGCCGACTGATCGATTGGCGAGCCGCCTCGCTCAAGTGCGATGACGCCCCATACTGGCGCTGATAAATCGTAAAGGAACCATGATCGCTGTAGCTGATCCCAATCGAACATGCATGGCATTTTAACAGCAGAGTCCCAATAGTAGTTGCTCGGATTTACATCACCATGAATTATCCCAAAGTATTCGGGGTCCGATGCCGTTCTACTATCGCGTTCGTCGACTTCCACTTCGGCCAAGACTCCGTCGTGGAGTGTGGTCCAGTGACGGGCGCGAGCGGCGAGCGTCGGTTGCTCTTGGACGAAACGACGCGTGAGCTTGTGTAGACGGGCGAACCAACGCCCGAGGCCTACTACTATTTCTCGATTTGTCATCCATGTCCAATCCGTGTAGACTACAGGCTCTCCAGTTGCAAATGTGAAGAGGCATAGAATTAACGAGCCGCTGCGGACGATGGCGGAGAAAGTGATGGAACTTCGGACAGCTCGACACGCGGGAAGCTTATTCTCATACAGATAGTCCAATAGGGCCACCTCTAACTCGGTGCAATCGAACCGTTTGTTGTCTGGGTCAGGTGTAACGCGTACGACGAAGCGTTCTGTTGTGCCCTTCTTGGCAAGAAAAGTGTGATTTTGTGAGGCCTTGACACATTCTCCGACTTCAACGCCCCAGTGATCGCGTGCGAGTTGGCGGACTTGCTCAACATCGATGGGAATAGTCTCGAAGAGAGGCATTTTTTATCTTAAACGAAAAACTAAACGGAGCAAATAAGAAGAAAAAAAAGAAAAAGAAATGCCAGAAGAAGCAAATGAGAAGAAAAAAAGAAAAAAAAAAGTCAGACGAAACAAATACGGAGAAAAAAGAAAAAGAAAAAGAAAAATCAGACAAAATAAATAAAAGGATGTTATAGGCTTGGTCTTTCACATACTATTTCTTTTTCTTGTTCTATGTTTCATATTCTTCTCTTTCGTTCACTACAAGTGATATTACCTGTTTCGTTATTATATCCGTTGTTGCTGTGCTTATATCAATCTTTTCACTGGGTTTGTTTTGTCTTTCTCTTCTCTGGATGCGTATGATGATATATATACGGTCATTCTTTCTCGTCTATTTAGTTAGTTGTGTAGGTTAGTGGTTATGTATGTGAGAGTGTGATGTATGATGATATGCGTGTGTGTTTATCAAAATAAAAGAAGAGAGATTGAATAGATCAAAAGCCTTCTAATAGAACAAAAAAAAGAAAAAGCTAGACGAAGCAAATAAGAACAGAAAAAGTCAGATAAAGCAAATAAGAGAAAGAAAAAGAAAAAGAAAGAGAAAGAGAAAGAAAAGAAAAAAAGAACATAGGACAAACGATAACGACAGTAATGCATCATTGAGACAATTATTGACGTCAATAAACTCAAAGAGATATTAGCTATACTATTCTTCCAAAAAATAGTCTTTACTACTTTGTGATATGAAATATTTATCTAGAACTATGGACTTGATCTTATAACATCGAAAAGAATAATTTCAAAACAAAAATTTTCGGCTGCTCATTTACTTATGAAATCAAATACGAATTTGAATTTAATTCTGAGATTCATTTTCAAGTGTAGAAACTAAAAATTATGTTTTTATATAATGAGTTATCTGCCTAGCAGTGTTCCCAAGTGACACTGGCTCGAAAAAATAAACAACAAAAAAAAAAGAAGCGTATGAGGAATAACAAAGACCTTCAATCACTACCTCAGCAGTAGAAACTGGCCACTTTTGGCCAACTTCCACTCGTAATAAGTGCAGTGCTGGAGAATAAAAATAGGCTTGTGACCAGTAATTGTTGTAGGCGATAATTGTACTGCTCTCTATTATTTTGTCCATGGATATCCTCAGACCCTTAGTATCTCAATGTCTGATGAATCTGGCCGTGATTGAAAAATCGATTCTATTTAATAAAAAAAACAAACAAACAGGTCGACAAAAAGTCTTCCTATGATTATTCTTATTCCATAGAAGTAAGAGTTGCATTTTTCCGTTGAAATTTTATCTCTGGTATGGTTGAATATAGATTAAGTGAATCTGTTGAATTGGTCTCAAAACTGAAGATAAAAATTATTACAAAAAGTTTTATTTAAAAATAGCGAGCAACAGCATTATCGAAAGAAACCTCGTAATCACCAATAGCAAAATCAATACGTGAGAAATGAGACACTCTATAATCAAAATAATCATGTTCTTCAGCAGCAAAAGCAGTAGAGTTTAAAGTCGCATCTCTGTCAACTATAACAATGGAATAGGCATTTTCTGCTTTAATAGCAACCTGCTGATGTTGAAGAGAACGATCATGAGCAGCAGTAGCTTTATGAGCACGAGTAGCAGGACGATGGAGAGAAATGCTTGCAGGAACACAACAAAGACAAATGGGCCTAATTGATACTGTAGCTGTTGGCATTGTTAAACAGCAACGTAAGTGCTTTAAAAAACATATACGAAAGTTTTTCATGAGACAAGAAATGACTCCATCAAGCATGAGCATTCATACTCAAATTTCGCATCCATTTTGATGAATAATGAATTAACGAACGGTTCTCAGAAGACAATCTAAAACATTTTATGAGAAAGCTTTGGTATAGAAAGAATCACCATTAAAGAGAATTTGTTCTAGGTTGTCTGATAAAATATCATTCTCTTTCTTACTTTCAATATATCGTTTCACAAAACTTAGGGAAACATCAGTCAATCGCTAACTTGTAATGGGCTTCCTTATGTACTTTTTAGAATATGTTAAAATCGCATTTGTTAGGCAAATGAGTGGTAACAGAATCATCCGACCTTGACAATCCAACAATTAATTAGACTATTGATCATGAGCTGGGTGCGAACACAAAATCTGTTCGAATGAGTTACATTTGCTTGACATAAGTGTGACACATTTAACCCTTAAAAGCCGAAGAGGCTTCCGTGACAATTTGAAAAAACCAGCCATCAAAGCTGAGCTTCTGAGTCATCAGTATGATTATATTATAGTAAAAAAAAATTATTTTTTCTTATGGAGATACAGAATGTCCCTTGGAAGGGACATTTGGTCGTAACGGTCCAAAAGTTTTCACTATTCTGAGTTTAGGTAAAAAGAGTTTTGGCTTTGAAATAATTTTATTTATTTGTTTGTTATTACTCAAAAAACGAATTGAAGCAATATTTTACATTTTTTCAAAGCTTACGCACTCTCTGTTTCAATATAAGGCTTGCTCGAATATGTTTTGGCCCGTTAAGACCGAATGTCCCTTCCAAGAGACATTTTCTTCATGATGTCATAATGCATCAACAAATCGGTTAAAAAATTCAGAGATGGTCTCTTTCGATAGCCTGATGCTACGCCTTGCAATGCCATTCACAAAAAATAAACTTTCAAACTGTATTAATAAATGAGCAAAAGTTTTAAAGTAAAAAAATGACATTAAAAAAATTATGTCTTAAAACACCCATTGTTTCGTCTAACAGGTACTCAAGCCTTATCTTTTTCTCTTTTCATGATCTATCCGGTTATCTTAGTCCAAGAAAACACTTGATCTTATATATGAAGTTATATTAAATGTTTTATTGAGATTTTTCCAATGTTCCTTGGGAGAGACATTCGGCTTTTAAGGATTAATTCGGAATTGTTCAGAAATTTTCAAATAACTTCCCTGATGCAAGTTTTTTTATCGACACTGTATTTGCTATTTACAATAAAGCAAGCAATAGACGATATGGCTTCGTTTACAACTAAATTAAATCATGTAACCGATGTATGCAAGGATGTCATTAAGTGTTGTCTATATAGTCAATCGGCACGTGATTTGAAAGTAAAATTTTGAATATGATTTATCTAAGAATAGATTTGTTTTATAGAAATAAACTAGTTTTCCTACATTACTCATATTGAGTTGTTCAAGAATCGTTTAAACAAAGGTTTGGTACATTAACCTTAAAACTTGAAAAAAAAATAATAAACTATCCTGAGTGCTTTACCCAAATGTTGTAGTAATAACTCCTTATACAAATAAGATTTCGCAAAGCAGATCATGTGGTTATCAAAGTCATCATCTTAACTATAAATTCATATCAAAATATTTTCTCTAACGCACAAAAACTCGTAGAAATATAAACTATTTTGTGTGGGTGTGATGACAACGGGCCTTTTGAATAGGTACATTACCACAGTTTCCTGAAGCTCTAAAAGAGTGATAGTATTATCAAATAAAGCCAAAATTTTAATATGAATAGATATTTTAATAATCTATCGACAGCATAAGTTTCGGATTGTTACTCTATATGATCGTTGAGTTATGAGAATGAGAAGCTCAAAAATGGATTAGTGCGTTACCTGTGGACAAGCTGTATTAAGTAATAAGCGCTAAAGTCATAGCAAACTAATTCATATTCTGCTAATAAAAAATGAATAATGAAAGTTCCAGCATTATTACAATAATAAAAATAAGGCAAATACTGATAAAAAGTAATGATTATGTGACACCCCTATTGATGAGTGAAAAAGCAAAAAAAAGAAACGTGGTATATTAAATTAACAAAAAATGATGGCATGCATAGTCTGACCGACGTTAAAGATCTTCGCTTCGATAACTTTCATATTTCTGATGACTAACTTCTTCGTGTACATCTTCAGTATCTTCGAGTTTTTCATCTTCTATGTCAACAAGTTCTTCAGTTTTATTCGCAGTAGCTTCTGTCACTGAATCATTTTGAGAAGATGAAGCGTCACTTTCAAAATTTGAGTTAGCAGTCAAGACTGCCTCAACATGTTCAATAAGTGCCTCATTCGCAGATGTTGTAGTCACTTCGGACGGTTGTACAGGTACTTCATTTACCGGACTCGGAGCTGCCTGAGAAGATTGGGTCAGTACTTCATTTGTAGGTGTGGGGGCCGCCTGTGAAGGTTGTGTAGGTACTTCATTCACAGAAACAGAACCTGATGAATCTTGAGCAGCTTGAGAAGCTTGTTGTATGTCATTTCCGACTGCTAAACTTTCTTCACTCACGGACAGACGGTTATTGTGATTGACACTAGGGTCACTTTCAGCAAAATTAGCTTTAACAAGCACTATAAGTAAAAACAAGATGGCATAAAACAAAGGACATGTTTGACGCATTCTCTTGCTTAACTGTGAATGAAATACGCTAAATATTCACAAGTATTTTTATATATAGTGACAATAGACAAAATGATTGGATGTTAAGTAATGAAGAGTCAGATGTGACTTACGTTCTTATTAATATTTTTCTTATTCTTTTTCAAATGCAAATGCATATTCTTATGTGTTTTTTTTCTTTATGTTTTTAAAGGGCTGAATAAGATAAAGCTGGTCTTCCATATATGTAAATTAATGACTTAATTAAATTTAGGTTTAAACATGAAATAGGATCTGATGCAATAATTGTCGTATTTTCTAACTTAATAATATATTCTTTATCTTTGTTTTGATAAAATGATCATTGAAAAAATAAACATTTTGTAGACTGACATAAATTAAACGCATGCAGTTGCTGTGAAAAAGTAGTTTTCTTATTCAATATATATACAAAAGCAAAAAAAAATCATACAAAAACTATTTCCATTTTCTACTACAGCTGATGCCAATGAAAAAAATAAAGTATATGCCAGCGTAGCAAATGCATATTTTATAGTAGGATGAAAGCATTAATGTCTAGTACATCATATGATTGATATATATTATTTAGTCTTTCTCTCTCAACCTAGCCAGACACAATAACGATCCAAACGGCGTTAAAACCATTTAGGATTAATAATTTTTTCACGCATTTTTCGCGACTAAACAAACATTTTCGACGGTTTCAAGGGTTTTGAAGAGAATGCATGACTGTCATTAAAAAACACGTCCTCTAAACAATGAATTGATAAATGTGTGGCGTGTGATGGAAGCCCTATCCAAAAATATTTCTTTTTGTTCAACTTCATTATTAATTGACCTTAATCAACGGAATTTTTTCGTATGGTAGATGAGATCATCAAGTTTTATTCCTATTGACACACTATAAAAGTGCTGTTTGAAATAATTAGCTTTAGCCAACATACAAGACTTTAAACTTTTTTTGATTCCATAATAATATTAAGCAGTGTGTTTTTTTGTTTTTTTAATTGCATCAGTTTCTGGAATTATTCTGATCTTTAAGTTGTTCAAATCTCGAGAAGTTGTTTTATGGTGGTTTATTTTGAGATCTACTAAGAACAAAATATTCAATGATGTCAAATCAATATCCAAGCTATTGGAAAATACACGAGCATAGTATTATTATAAAATCAGAAAAAAGGTAAATTTCTATATCTTGACTAAAAGTAATTACTTCAAAGAGAACTTTTATAGTTTTCCATAGAGTTACAACCTATTGATAAAGATCAATCAAAGTAGTGACTTTAGAAACATCCAATAAATGCTTTATGCCGGCCCTTAAAAAACAGTCACTGTATGAAATGTTGTAGCGATTCTCAACATAATATTGCTTCTTGCACTATCTAATTTCCTCTATCCTTACTCCTATTACTTTGTGCCTGTCGTAGATTCCTCGTCAGATTATGAAATCACTATGGAAGTTGTGTCCTGAGCATGGTTAGGTTTTTCAAAACATTGAGTTTGTTCGTGGTCAGTGACGTCAGTGAGTGGAAAGAAAACTTATTTAAAAAAATAACTCTTTTAAAGAATCAAAGTCAAATTGATGGCAGTCACGTCTCGTCTTTAGCAATTGTGCTTGTATGTTCTCATAGAGAAAACAGTGATGGATAATATTAGACAAAACTTTTTGATTAAGAGTTTTGGTGTGAGTGCTGATGTGAAGAAGATAAGACCTATACACCCACACTCACAATGAAAATAGAAGTCCAACAAGCAATACTACATCTTAAATGATATCACTAAGAAATTTGTCAAAACATATACCAATGAAATGTGCGTTGAAGACAAAAGACAAATGCTAGACTTAAAGTTGTATATGAATATAAACTTAGCTTTAATATATTCGTAAAGACATCAGAAGTCAATCGTAGGATGTATTTGATCATGTATTCAAATCGGAAGGAAGAACATGAATAAAATATACAATTGCGAAAGGTTTCTTTCAGCTACTAGCAAAGTCTTCCATATATCATCGCTAAGTTCCACTTTTCTCTAATAAGACTGACGACAACTGTTTAGTGACGGTTCTGTAAATTTTCACCAACTGTCGCCACACAGTAGGAATGTATAGTATATTTGAAAAGAAACTATGCCAAATATCATGACAATGTTTCTTGATATACTTTTGCTCTGAATGCGTTCATATATGATTAAATCATCTATTAGTTTAAAAAATATTGGAATAGAATAGAAATTAGGTTATAGAAAAAAAACAAGAATAAGATACACCTTGACGATAACTACGATAAGTATGATTCTGAAACATCATTTTTGTATTTGTTGTGATCGAAATTTTCGAGTAATTTTACTAGTAAATACTTCTGTGAATGTCGGAGTTGATATCGTTCGCTTAAGTGAAAGTGTTGTACTATCAACAGCCTTGAATTGTAATACTATAGCACGAGTTGTGACAAGTATTTAACAAATACTGCTTATCTGGCATATTTCAAAATATAAATTCTATGAATCAAATTTCTTACTAGAAGATTGGTTTTATTATACATTCAAGATTTAGTGCTTCACGCTGCCTACTACACAATCATTTTTACTAAAATAATCTTTAAAAGATCTACAATAATAGATAAAATTTAGGATTGTGACATCGATGAACAAGATGCCTAATCAATAGCAACGTTACACTCAAATTGAAGAAAGTTCTTTTAGGTGAGCTCTCAGTAACCTCATCATCTGAATATTTCATTGTAAATTAAAGATAAAATAAAAAACTATTAACCCAAGTAAATGGCGCATAGTCGGTATTTGCGCACTACCTGAAGCACTGTGCTATTATTGCATATCTGACAGCAATGAAGTGGTGTTGGATCATTCATCATGTCTTTCATTTTGGTAGCTATTTGAACGTTGTATCTTTGATTTATAGATAAACAGCAAGAACTACGACATATCTTTACCATTTAATTTGTATTAGAAATATGATAAAAAGCATTTTAATATCATTTTTGAGAAGATTATTTATTTTTATTCAAGTTACTGACTTTCATTCTTTCTAAATACTTCATTAACACATCTATCAATATAATAATTGCAAGCATTCAATATAGAATGATTTCAATATAAAGAAATCCCTTGAGACTAAAAATGAACATTATAGCATTAGACGATTTGACTGGAATAGAACAATTTATGCATTTATTTAAAAGATAGTGTTGACTTTCTCGATTTTTCAGGAAAAAAGGACAGGTATCATCATTAATAATATAAATATAATTATAAAGTGTTTACCAACACAAGATGTTACATATAGGTCTCAAACTGAATAAGAAGATCACCGTACAGTTCATTGTTTTAGATTTCAATAAATGTTAAGATTGATTGTATTTACGGTATTATAATATCATAAAAAGTTGATGATGCCCGTCTCTATTCTTTTTTAATTGAAAAAATCGAAAATCTCTTTTAACTATATGAGTCTTTCTACTTGTAGAATGCATTCGTAATTAATATTCTTATTTACATGTACAATTTTGTTCAGAGTCTTAATAAGAAAAACATCCATTTTATTGAAATTGTTCGAATTATCAATCTTCTAGAAGGAAAATGCTGTAGATGTTTTTTTTTACTTCAAAGTTATAATAAATAGAAAGAACTATTCGAGAGAGATAATTGTTCTTTTTTTTTTTATAACATAGATGAAAGTCTTTTGGAGACAAATGATTTTGAACAATATAAAAAGCATCATATCATCTAAACATGGAGTTTTTTTTCTAATTAGAAAAACAACTGTATAATAAGCGGAATTGTTTTTTGCATACACAAGGATAACCATAAACCGTTTGGTACGAATGAAATAATAGCCTCTTCAATAATATAATCAATCGATTAGGCCTTTGTTTTCTTTCATCTACATATATTTTATCTGTATCGAACTAATCTTGTGTATTATTCGTTTATTTGGAAAATTAATTCGATATAACAACAATTTCAAATCGCAACATTTATTTTTCAGCACTTGTTTCTTCTTCTTCTTCTTGAACAGGTTCCCACAATGCCCAAGTAAGAACACCTGGTTCAGCGCCAGGAAATGATCGATGCGGTGCAACACATCGATACTTTACACCATCATACATTACTTCATCACCTATTTGATAGTCAAACAAATCCGATGACCATGTTGTTAAACCAAGTGGACGACGAGTAGTTGTAATTGTTGTGGGTGATGAGAATGCTTCGTGAGTTGATAAGGATGGCCATGTCCAATGGATTGTTGAGGTTTTTGCTGATGTTGATGATGCCTCGTGAGTTGAAAAGGATGGCCATGTCCATTGAATTGTTGAACTTTTTGTTGATGATGCTGACCACTGATTTGTCGTTGTTGGCCGTGTCCAATGATGTGTAGATGTTATTACTGTTGCTGTGGTAGTACTAATTTTCGTTGTTGTTGATGTTGTTGTAATCGTAGATCTATATAAACATCATAAGGAGAATGAAAAAAAAGTTCATAAAATTTACGTTGTAGGAATTATAACCATAGGTGGATCAGTAGGCGAACCATCTGGTAAAATAGAAATATCAGAACAACCCATAAATGTTTCATTTTCTCGTCCTAAACCAGCACCAGATTGACCAGTAATTGGATCTGTACCCCAACTATTTCCTGCTGTATATTTCCATTGAAAAACACAATGTTGACAAGAAACATCTGATGGAAGTTGTACACGAACAGTAATCATTTCTGAACCATATTGACTAACATTACGAAATTTAGTTGAATTAGTATCAGCAATTATTAATTGATGACGATCGAGACATTCCTGAGTAGCATCAGCTAATGGACTAGCATCCAAATTACATAGACGAAATTCAAAATAACCTTTATGATTAGCTGTTAACTATGATTAATATAATTGAAATAAATCTTTTTTGATCATTATTCATTTAAAATTAACTCACCACGACTTTTACATCGATTTGTTGTCCTTGAGTGTATGTTTTAACAATAGTACCTTTATACATTGCTCCACCTTTTTCAAATAGTTTCACTTTTTTATCATATGCTTCACCACAAATACTACATTTTCCATCTAAATGACAAGATAGCATATGAATTTTTTGTATGATTATATTAAAAAAATATGAACAAACCATTGACATTCCATTGATGTCCCATTCCTCCACAAAACATTTCCATATGATTTGGCCAAGTACAACATTGTCGAAATGATGAATCAACAAGCCAAGCTGAACTACGAGCTACCGGTTCGAACAGATAGCCATGGCCATAAACAGATATTAAAAAATAGGGGAATAAAACCAAAAAACCAAACATACGAATAGTCCTTTTAGAAGAAAAAAAACAGCAATCAAATGAAATTGAAAGAGAAGAGGTGGGTAGGTAAAATAAGTTGCAAAAACAAAAATCACTATTATTGAGGATTAAAATTTGATACTACAATACTTGCACTCTATTCATCTGCCCTCCAAAGCTAGTATGAAATTGAAATAAAGCATCGATAACAAATGATGAAAGAATGATATGTTTCAGTATGGAAAAAAAGCTTATTATTATATTATAAAGTAAGTATTTCACGTATTCAATAGATTGGAGTTACTTGTTCTACGCAATTAATAAACTCAAAATAATTACTTCTTCTATTTCGTGACATATTATTTCGGATGAAAAAGTCCTTATCCTATATCAACTTATATAAATGAAATACCATTAAAAACAAATAATCATCGTAGATAATATAGCATGACGAGTAAAAATATTTTTCTATGTAATGGAGGTTTATCTGCAAATGGTATTGAGGATAAAATTTAAATCAAAATAAAGCTTTTTGAAAATGAGATTTATCATTGTGGATCTGACGACTTTTTCATTTGTAACTCTAGAAATATTTAGAATTTTCTAGAGTGTATGAGGCATGATACAGAATAGTGGATCAATCTGGAGAAAGAATATTCTTCAGTATGTAAAAAAAAATGAAAATAGCCTATGTGATTCGAATCGGACAAAAAAATTAACGATAGTTTGATGCCGAAACGATTGATTATCTTGTGACCGCCATTCTACTGTGATACATCGATAGTTATATTGACATTTGTACAACACTTACTGTGATATTCTATTAGTCACTCGTTATAGAAAAAAAGGAAGATAGATGTTTTGATAGTAAAATAAGCAGATAAGTTTTTCTTATCCTATAGGCAGATTTGTTCTGCTACCCATGAATGTGGTTCTACGTTACAAAAATACCTTCTCGATTATTTTTGATGTCACTGGTTCATTTGCAAAGACGAAATATGTGTCTCCTTTCGGACTAAGAATAGTTTGAAAACCACTGTTGGAGAAAATATTTCTCACCTTATGAGTATTATCATAAGTTAGTTATGAATGCCGGTATGCAAACCGAATCTAAGTTTCATTTTCATTACCTATATTTTTTATGCTTTTACATTCAAAAAGTGTGAGTGTGTTTTTTTTCTAGCAATCATTTTCGTAATGGTTTTCGTGTTAAAGGGATAATCAGATAGCTTTGACAATATATCTATTCAAGAATTATCATTTGGTCATATGTTTCCAGTTTAATTCTTTTTCCAAGGTCGTTTTGTAGAACTCACTGAAATTGTCTAGTTGCTTAGTGTCAGTACCTTGTGTGATCAAGTGAATATTAATTCTCTTAAATGAAATTCAGAAAGGATCTTTTTGTATTGATGGTTTTTTTGTCGATGAACATTTCTGTCGTTAGAATGATGTGGAAGTATGGGTGAACATTTTCTTTTTCTACACCCACATCCACACCCTCTCGAATCCCTCATTCAGTTGCTAAATCTTTTCTTGTCATCATTCGAAGAAAATCGATTTGTCAATAAAATTGACTCACTACATCGTATATCATTGTCAATCAATCCATTATTACACTCGCAGCCATAGTCTTAATAATTATATCTAGTACTGCAATGTGCCTGGATAGACTCGATGATCTCTGTAATTGTTGATGAAACTATAAAAAAACAACTACCATAAAAATATTTTAGTTAAAATTGGAGTGTGATTTAATATAGGTTGAGAATCAAACGATTTATACTCATTATGTTTAATAAAAATCCAATGCTTAAATTCGAGTGTACAGAACCACTCGTTGATAGATAAGTCGATAAATGTCTTGATAAAAGATTCCAACCATTGAAATCTCAAAAGAAACAAATTCATTTTCATACGTGTTCTAAGAATATGAAGTCGGAATAAATTCAAGAGAAAACGATGGAATAAATCACATCAGAAGAGAATTTCTTTTCAAAGTGATTATCGATGGGTTTTATTTATACATTGGCAATAATGCACGATTCTTACTAGAAGAAAAATTCCCAACATTATTATAATAATTCTGCAAAAACTGATTGTCTTGAATTTACCACTTTAGTATATCAGACTAATTTTTTATTTGAAGTATATTTGTTCTATTTTTTGCGTGACATGCGATTGAAAACAAGTGTTAAAGTTGTAAAGCGAAAAAGTCGGACTCTCACAAAGTATGACAGACATGTCAAAATTCTATATCATGGTTTTTTGGACCATTCAATTTTGGATTATTGAATCGTGTATAATTTAGGATTTTCGAATAATATGAAAGAGGTTCATCGAGTTTCACCTATTCAATTCGTAGCGATTATCCTCAAAGCTTTTTCTTTTAATTATAGACTGACTTAATAGAGAATATGTCGGAAGTAGAGAACTCTCCTTTATAGATAATAAATAGGTTAAGAAATCTATTTTTACAAAAAGCTTACTCACGTTGTCCTTTTGAAATGTGCAAATCTTGTTGATATTGTTCACTAGTAACATAGCGATCTTCGGGTATAGAGTGTGGGATTCTCATTTAGTTGATTGACTTTAATAGTCACACTCAACATGGTAAGCAACAAAGACAATAGAAAAGATTCCCAAAGTTACAGAACATCTATCAGAATCAAATCATAGAACTTATATCTCAAAATTCTTCAGAAAATTAAAAGCACGTACTATTGTTGTATTTGACATTATGGGTGTGGAGTAAGGATGTGAGTCTTTGGTATCTTCATCCACACCCATATCCACACATGAAGGTAAATAGACGTTGGAATACATGTTTTTGCTCTATGCACTTGTAAATTTCCACGTGAGAATTGACTATAAGAACATGTAACAACAGATAGATTACATCTCCAAGTTTTACTTTTCTAATGGTTGCACTTATCCTATGAAGAGTAAATGAAATGCATTTAATTATTTTTTACCTTGAAAAACAATGATTTTCATGTAAGATGCAATAAATGAAAAATATGAGCAATCCTTATTTTTCATGCTGATTACGAGTGTTTCGTTGTTTTTTTTGATTTCACAAATTTGTCATAAGGAAAAATGAAAAATATTGATGGATGTGACTGTAGCTGTCGGTGTTGAGAGTAGATGCTTAATTCAAGTTCGAATGTGAATGATAAATTCTAAACAACGGCTATTCTTCAGAAACAGTAAAAGATAAAACTGTTAGTTATCTAAATTAGAATTACAATATAATTTGAAACTATTCTCGCCATTGTTTACATAGAGACGATCATGGGTCGCGACTCTTTGGAATTACTATGATCCACTATGCTACGGCACTGACATTGATATAAAAATGTTCATCTGCAGTTCTCAAAGAAAATCGATTGTATCGATCGATTCATTAACGTTCGCTGTTAAAATTTCTGAATTGCCAGTGACTGTTATAATGTTTGAGAAAAAGTGAAAACTATTTTGTCTTTCAAGACATGCAAATCAATCAAACAAGTGTGAATGTGAATCTTTTCGACCATACCCATGCCCTAAAATATTATTTCAGGTAGTTGATCTTTTCCTTTCTGGTTTACTTGCAAATTCTCTGTAAATAGTCATTAACGTATGGATATATGCGTGGATGCAGATGTGCGTGTGCTTATCATTTCTTACACTAACACATACACCTGCAATCATCCGCGTGGTTTTTTATATCTCTAACAACTTTTACTCTTCTGATTGAGATCTATTCTGTTTTTAAGTCCAACATTTTTTATTGCTCCCTTCTCAAAACATCTTGGAAATGTAGTAGTGTTCTAGGATTAGAGGAAAAACTTCTGATCAGACCGAACCGGCAAAAATATCGCCCGTTAAGGTTCTCATGTGAACTAAGGCAACTGTTCGTTTCGTACTTGACAAGCAATAAATAACAATGATAATGGATTCTTTATTTCATGTTATCAACATGCATATGACTGACAAAGATGTCGCTCATGAAATATATTAAACTGAGATGTAAGCAAATAAACAGTCAATGCCCCAAGCAATGATCCTATTTGAGTCAAGATGCCAAACCAATAAAGTCCTCGATGACCCGACGTGTGTTTGATATAGTTAGCAATAGTGATACGAATGAAATGAAAAACGCAATACATTGACACCCAAGCAAGAGCAACCAAAACACTGCCAGATGTTTGATCAACCAAAGGTGAACAAGGAGAAAGTTTGGCTGTCATAAAAATATAAGCAAACAAAACTGTACCAATAACAGTTAGAATATAGAGTACAATAGTTGAAACACGATTCCAGAAAATCGCAACAAGTACCATAAGTGGACAGGCAAACTGACAGGCGATGATTGTTTTGTGATACACATCGATAGAGTATGGATAGAGGGAGAAAGCTAAAATGACACAAATCATATTTGACAATAAAATCGATCAATCTGCTTACTTTGTAAACTTGGTGCAGCACCTAGAGAAGACAAAAAGAAAAAGAGTTCATATTGTTTTTATTTGAAAAATTTTTCTCAGCAGTGAAAACTATTAATTATCTGATAGTATACAAGAGTGTTCAAAAATTGAGAAGAAAATTGCATCAATTGAATAATAATGATAAACAATCTTTTGAAGAACATCTCCCAATATTACTTATTCTCAATAAAAAGTATTCTCCAATACAAACCGATATTGAAGAGGCTCGCCACGAAAATCATAAATAAATAGCTGCCATGTACAGAAAACCAAAATTGTTTATAAGTCATTCGTTTGACTGGTGTTTCATTATGTACATCGCTTTCGCACAGATCATTGATCGACGACATCGATGACAGTTCACTGGTTATCGATCTAAGACAAAAACAATTAACGTTTTATTTCACTCAAATAACAACATGATAGATTCAAACAATTCTAAATTTTATTGCTTCGAGTTTCTCCACTGACCGATGGTGAGAAGTTTCTGCGAACAAATATAAATGTTTTCTCTTATTTTTGAAATAGTTCGATTTTGTATTTCTCTAAAAATTTAATCCTAAAGTTTCTAATTACCGATAAGATTTGTCTGTAAGAAAAAAGAACGAATTTCATTAAAACCTTTTCTTCGTATCACTAGCTTTTTGTCTGCCAATATTTGTTGAGCACAATATGATAAACGCCACAAACGAGCAAATCATGATCACTGATAAACCGATTAAGTATACTTGAACCGAAAAACGAGGTGGATGCTGAATACTTGTTCCATTTTGACAAGTCTCTTTACCGACACCTTGAACGAGTCCAAGCAGTCCAGGTAGTAAACTTGAGAGTGCTTCACCAAATAAGAATCCATTGAGAAAACGAAGCTCATATCGATGAAGAAATGGCATGAATGTTGCACTTGAAGTAACATCAACGAGAGCTAAACAAAATGAAAGAGCCATAAGATAAGTAGAATGGCGAAAACCGCCTATAATCGATGTCTTGTTCCAAAGGAAAGCAAGAGCAAAAAGAGCACCAGTGCCGATAGATAATACACCAATATTGACTGGAATTTCGTAAGCAACTTTGCCTCGAGAACACCATCGAATAATAGCTACAAGAAAAAGAGCTACGCTGCCACTATTCGCAATAAGACCCATAATGGCGGGTAAACTCCAGCCCTCGACAGCTTGTGGTACAATAAGTGGAAACTGAAGAAAGACACCCTGAAGATTGAGCCATGTGCCCACACCGAATAAAGTGACAAGAATATAGACTAGCGGAGTAGTGATGCGAGATGACAACATGTATTCGTTAGATGAATGAGTGTGCGAATGACTAGTTATATAAAAGATAAAAAATGGGTCGTTATTATCTTACAATAAGTAAAGCAAAGGATCGACGCAAAACCTTTTTTTTATATGACTATAAAAAACAGTTTTGTATCAGCTCTTTTTTCACTTACTGTAGCATGATAACAAGTCATCCTGTATCTTTCAAGTATTCAGTCATGTTTTTGGTGTTAGTATTTTATCTGATGATCACCAAAAAAGTGCAAAATCCATCAAATAGTAAACATAAAATGAAATGTGACCCTGTTGCAATTACTATACTAACGGTTAACCTATAATAAATTGTCCGTCTTTGTATTTGTTATTTATGTCTTGTGTAAAACATTTTATTTCAAGCAAAATATATCACGAGATACATAGAAGTGCTCCCTACATTTTATACTAAAAAGCTATCGTATATGCTCCTTTGGTTGTCATCATAAAATGATAAAATTTGACATGATGAATTCTGGGTGCAGATGTGGGTGAACAGAAGATGTCCACCCATACCCTTAAATCGTTATCAAACGGATTAGACAGTTGCAGCCAGTTTTGATTGTAATGAGGAAGATATGGAAGCGCTGCAACACTTTTCTCATCGTCTTTTTTTATAACGTGATACAATTTTAAGTAATTCTGTAATTTGGATGCACTAAATTTCTTTGTGAACTTTCAGCAATTGTCGGAAGAGTATTTGTTTAATTTAAACACAGTCCTAATTGCACATGCATGGTCAAAAGGATGAAAAAAAGGGCAAGGACGTATCGCTGAAATAAAAAAGTCGGTTGTTAAGACAATTTTAACACCTTTCAGGAACGTAGTTTCAGTATTAAAAAGTGCGTAGTTTTAATAAAAAAAGAGCACATTCTGATATGCTAAGAACGTTGTCTAAAGCGAATAGTTCTTGATTGTAAAGCGTGTTTCAAAGGAACGCGTTTTTCCCAATAATAACGCCTTATGATTTTGAAAGAAAAAACTGATCTTCAAGTCTCTTATATCTCTGAATCTGTTTCTTCACGCACCTTTCTCTCTCTCCTATAATTCATTTCTGTTCTAGCGGAGTTTAGTTGTCGCCAGAGATGTCCATCGCGGCTGAAAATCTGCCGCTGCCGCGCCGCGGCCTTAGAAAAAAAAGCTGCCGCACCGCAGCCGCGCCGCGACGGTTTATAAAAAAATGTTGCCGCGGCGCTGCCGCGCCGCGATGGCTTATAAAAAAAACGTTGCCGCGCCGCTGCCGCGATGAATTATAAAATAAACGTGCCGCGGCGGTTTACAAAAAAGTGTTTCTAATTTCACTGCTGCGACTATATTTGACCAGAGATATTGGTACCAGTCCATCAGATTCATTCAGTCTCGGGGTGTTTCATTTGTAAACCCTGAAATTCTATTAAATTCATGCAGTTTTTCAATGTTCCCCAAAAAAACCTGCCGCTACCGCGCCGCTGCCGCGATGATTTTAAAAAAATCTACCGCTACCGCGCCGCTGCCGCGGTGATTTTTTAAAAAACCTGCCGCTGCCGCTGCCGCCACAGGCCATCGCGGCAGCGGCAGCGCCGCGATGGACATCTCTGGTTGTCGCCCATCGTGTTCTATCTATTTTTTGTTGCTGTTGAGTGGATTCAACCATTATATATTAAACAAAACTGATGTGTATTCTAATATCTATCTCTACGGCTGTTGATACTGTAAATAGGAGTAAATGCTGAATTCGAATTCAAATAAAACTAAGGTTTCTAAATTTGAGATAGGCACTTTATTATAAAACTTTACAAAATAAAATTTCAATGATTGTAACTAATCCAAATTTCTGGCATTACTATTTTATAAAACTAAAGAAAAACTTGAGAATAGAACATGTATCTAAACAAAAAAGATACTCTCAAGAAAACTTGTTAGTGCAGGTTTTTTTCAGTGAAACCAATTTTTTTTGATTAAAAGATCGAGGGTAAACACTTGATTTTTTTCTATCAATTTCAAATAAAAAAAACAGCTATTATTGACTTGATCTCACCTATGTTCTTTAGCCTTATTTAACTAATAGAAAATACGAAAACTAAAAAGTTTCTTGTAAACTATACGTTTCTTTCAAGGTTTGTAAGAATTCTTGCAGTCTGCTTTATTTTTCTTTGTTTTAAGCATTAAATTAAATGACAAATAAAGCTGTTGCAGGTATCTATTGCAGGAAAAATTGAAGTAAGGAAAATTTAAAAGTTTCTTTGGAAAAAAATGAAATTCTCGTGTAGGAGCAAGTAAAGTTGCGATGTGTCCTAGAAAAATTTGTAAGATTCCTAAATGTTGATTTTCCCTGCTACATATGTATTACATCTATAGTAATCGATCTCAAAACACTGTTATATATTACGATCGGTTTGAAAAAAATGATATTGATTATTTTTCAAAGTTATAACTTGATCAATTCACGTTTTGATGTTGATCAAATGGCGACTGCGACACATCAACGGATCAATGACAATCATTGTTGACATCTTGAATACAAATTTTGATCTACACAAGAATCATAAACTGCACTATTAAAAACATTCACAATCGTGTGTCACCCATTCAAACTTCACTGAAGACTTCGAAAAACTCTAGAATATTGTAAGGCAATTTAACCTTTGAAATTAACATTGTTTAGCACCTTTAATTTCGGTTGTTAAGGTCTATCATCAGGGGGGGGGGGGGGGACTAGCGAAGCCACAACACTTCTTCTTAAAAGTTACACTCACTATTTTGAAAATACATGTGAGTTCCATAGAGAAAGAAAAACAAACATTTAGAACGACTCGCTCGGGAAATAATTGTTTTAATTGATCAGGTGCAGTCTTTTTTTGTGATGCAACTAGAAAGCAGATATCTTCATATCAGAATAACACAAACTTCTCAAATAACGGCGTGTTTTTGTTACATGCGTTGCAACACAATGTTAGGAAATGAACTCCATTCGATAATGAACGCGTTCTTGCTCAATAAAATGCGTTCCATTTTTTCGAAAACGTGTTCGTACTCGTTTCTTTCTCTGAGTTTTAGTCCATGAGTCGCTCAATACTGTATACAAATGTTAACCTTACCACTCAGTACATAGATTACGTTTAAAGTAAATATAAGTGCTGTTAAAAATCTATTGAGAAAGCCAGTACGGAAAAATTTCTGTTTCTCCTGTGTTTACATGTTGAGTGTTCAAAGAAGCATGTAAACGTTTAAAAGATGCCATCTTTTTTTTATATATGTTTCTTCTCTATATAGAATAACTGTTGAGATCAAGATCATGTGCGATTCTTTGGATAAATTATCAGGACTGATCCTCTTTAGTTCTTAAGTTCATCTAAGAATTCTATTGTTTTTTCGACCTTTTTTTCAGCCTTGCTCTCATACACTTAAACATTTTGTCTTCAAGACTTCTATCGTTCATGTAACTTGGTAAAGCTTTCCAGTCCGATGTGTTCAGTCTGATTTGAGTCATTCTTTTTTTCGCAGGCTTTCTCTCGGAGACTTAATCTTCGATAGTCTATAGCAATGCTATCATAAATACCAAAATAAACACAACAAGCTTCATGAATACGATTCATCCTGTGTAGTTTAATATTATTACTAAATCATTTAGTATGAATTATAAAAATATTGGAAAAAAGGACTAAAACATCATATCATCATAAATGTGGCAATAATCAATCAATAAAATCTTATCAAAGAAATCTATATCTAAAATAGTTTTAAATCTCGAATAGATTTACATGTGTATAAAGAAACCGAATGATTTGTTACATATATTAAGTCAGTTATTAAAATATTTAATAAGAATATTATTCATTCTGGATATGTAAAACAGTGGGTTTTTTTCAAAATAAGTCATACTGTACTCAACATCAATGCCAATTAATCATTTTCAAAATGTCATATCCTTTTAATAAGTTTTTGTCTTCATAATCGATTGAAGACACTCCAACCAATTGGCCTTTTGCCGTCTGTTTTCGTTGCAAACTCTCTATTCATAGTCATTGGGTGTATATGTGAATGTGCGTGTGCTTATCATTTCTTACACTAATACGTACACCCACAATCATCCTCGTGGAATTTTATGTCTCTAGCGACGGTTTCTCTCCTGATTGAGTTCCATTCTGCCTTAAATTTCAGCATTTATCATCGCTCTATTCTCGAGACATCTTCGCAATGAAAGTTTCTTAGATGAACTAAACAACGTTGTTCCTTATGTACTTGACAAACAATAGATAACAGTGATCACTATTTTTTTTAATTTCATGTTATCAACATGCATATGACTGATAAAGATGTCGCTCATGAAATATATTAAACTGAGATGTAAGCAAATAAACAGTCAATGCCCCAAGCAACGATCCTATTTGAGTCAAGATGCCAAACCAATAAAGTCCTCGATGACCCGACGTGTGTTTGATATAGTTAGCAATAGTGATACGAATGAAATGAAAAACGCAATACATTGACACCCAAGCAAGAGCAACCAAAACACTGCCAGATATTTAATCAACCAAAGGTGAACAAGGAGAAAGTTTGGCTGTCATAAAAATATAAGCAAACAAAACTGTACCAATAACAGTTAGAATATGGAGTACAATAGTTGAAATATGATTCAAGAAAATCGCAACAAGTATCATAAATGAATAGGCAAATTGGCAGGCAATTATTGTTTTGTGATAGACATCGATAGAGTATGGACAGTGAGAGAAAGCTAAAATGACACAAATCATATTTGACAATAATATTGATCAATCTGCTTACTTTGTAAACTTGGTGCAGCACCTAGAAAAAAATAAGAAGAAAAGTTCATGTTAGTGGCGCAACCAGGAATC